TTTAGTGAAGTGGGTGTGTTATAAAAAAAAGTTAACATGTCAAAAGAGTGCTTCACTTCTTACCTAACAATAATGAGAAAGTTGAATGACTTGCAGCCACCATTATTATTGTTGAAAGGAATTCCCGTAGCTTAGTCAACTAAAACTTTTTGACCTTACACAGTGACATTGTGTTGCTAACTTGGATTTCACTGAAAGATAATAAAATACCTGGATGCCTTGGTGTGTCAAACTTCAGCATTTCCCCATAGTCTAACCTGAAAAGCATTTACAAATTGCACTACCAGGAGGTTCCTATCCACGCTGGCATTAAACAATAACCAGAATTCTCCGAAGACTACTGTACGTGGAAAAAGGCAGGCCGCATACATGACTGGTGTCACATATCATCAATGGTGAGTCATCTGTAATAAGTGAATAACAGACTGAAATGCACCAGAAAGACCAGCAAAAAACTAATTTGATTGCACTTAATAATACATTTCCAAACCAAAACCATTTGTACACTGTAAACAGACCATTTAAAGGTACTGTAAGTAACTTTAGTAATGGAGGATCCGCCACCTGCTAGTGTCTATGGTGATGCCATTTGCCTGGAATGTGCCACAGTATGGCATTAAACTTATCTATAGTGCATTTATTTGGTTACAGGTGTTTTTATTGTTCAAAAATACTGTGATCTGCTTTGCCTCCTCACAGACATGGCCTGTAACTCTCCATTGGAAATAGATTTGTTTAATGCCACACTGTTTAACATTGGGCAAGAGAACAACATTTCAGTAGAGACAAGCCTGCGGCGGACCTTCCACCAGAAAAGTTACATAGTGTACCTTTAAGTCATAAGTGAAACAGAATCACATCATTGCAGTCATATTTGATTTAAGTTTCAGTGGGAAAGCACTGCTCTGTTACAAAAAGGAATGCTAAAAGATACAAGGCTATTTACAAAAAAAACGTAATTGGAAATATGAAAGCAAGACAATAATGATGATAATGATGAAGTTCTAAAAGACACAGAAATGTGCTACATGTATAATTATTATTTCAGCTGAGGTCTATTATGGTAAATACAGAGATATTTTTACTGTATAAATCCAGACCCAGATTACTCACTTTAGTTAGACCTATCACGCTTTTTCTTACATTACTGCAGACAGCCATGCACTTTTTTCTCAGTACAGCAGAAAAAAAACAAAGCTCTCCTAATCTATATGAGGTTAGCCTTATTTCACCCACACTGTTGGACCTCTGCATCAGTCGCATTTGAAACAGTACATTGCCGTTTCTCTCTTTCTCTCTCTCCTTGACACTCCCCACTAGCACACAGCCCCGGGCCCCCTTGTGGAATGCTGTATAGTGCGGGGCGTATGGAAGGAAGGGCATCCCAGGACACAGCTGTAACACACAGAGGCTAGCACATGCAAACATGCACACACACGGACAAATACAGCTGTTGAGAGCCATCACAACCCCCTGGCACGCAGCCAAGTCAAAGACAAGTGGTGCTGGAAGGCCTCCATTTAGGGAGAAAGAAAAAAAGTCCTACATTTTCCACGTATGTACCATTTAACACTGAGGATTGAAACTTGGCAGCACAAAGCCACATTACCTAGAATTGATAGCTCTGCAGAGGGGCGGAGAAATATCATAAAGCAGATTGAATAAACACTGTCCTTGTGTTACCTCAGTTTGGCAGGTAAGACCTATGGATTCATGAGAACGCACTTACATAATACTGCAGAAATATATGACATGTTCAAACTCAAAAGATAAGTGACAGTTCACAATAAGGTTAAAAGGCGGAGAAGGATTTAGGAAACAAACAAAACATGTGGATGCAGGGGAAATGTGAGTTAGTTTAGGATGGAAAGAGAAGACAATGTAAAGGCAAGTAGCCTAATTAAAACTACACACTGCATTACACAGATGAGGCACCACTGTAAAACAAAGATCTCCCAGAGTTTAGGTAAGGTGAACTAACAACTCTCCAACTGTCATTTAAAGCTATCAGCAAACTGCAAACACTCAAAGTTAAGCTTAAAATTGTGCTACCAAGAAACACTTTATGGTCCTTTATGAGAGCAAAATTATTATACTTTAAATATATCCTCAAATTGCCAGTCAGCCTTTATAATGATGTTATTAGTTCATATGAATTTATGGATATCCATATTTTGTTCAGTTCAGCAATTTTAATCTAGGCGACTTTACATGAATCAGTCCACTATCCATTATATCCATAGACAACGTATAGGGATACAAAACCAACCAACCAACCCTATAAGAGCAAGCCAACTGATTTCAATGGAGGACAAATACTTAATGAATATTTAATAACCATTACTTCTTAAAAACCTATGCAGCATTTTAGACACTTTGCATTTATAAACATATGGAGCAATAAGGGTGGAGAGGGTGTCTTGGACCATGACGCACAACACATAATTTCCTACTATTTACAGGTTTCGCTATCCATCATTGTAGCCCCCATTCAAATTGCCCTATTCATCACACATTTAACTGTAACTGTTTGGGAAAGTTCAAGACTTGCGAGTTTTCGTCACCATCAAACTGCCAGTTAAACTGTGTGGCTAAGCAACTCGCTGTCTCTCCGTTCTACCTATAAGGAGCCATGAGCAACTGGAATAACGCACGATAAAACCTATGCGTCATACAAACCAGACACCATAAACATTACAGCAAGACGGGCAGAGAAGGGGGGTATATTTACCAAAAAAACGGCGCTATCCCATACACAGCAGTCTGTCAGTGGTCGTTGAGGTGGATGTGGCGGTGCTGTAACCTATAAAGTTTGTTGAGGTGAAAAAAGCAGGCCCGCTTTCTCTCGTCCGCTGGCTCACTCTGACACTCTTTCGTCCCCCATCTCTCTATCTATCCCACTGCCTTGCTCCGTGTGTGTGTATGTGCTCGCTTTCTGCCTCTGTCCCTTGCAGGAAGTGAACGGCGCTCACATGAACAATGTTAATACGGACATCGCGCGGTAGTCTGACATCATGCACCATTCCGTAAAGTGCTCTTTTTAAAGACGCAGACGTTTTGCAGGGGCATGCCGGGTTACAGTCAGGCTTTCCTCGTGGCTCACTCTAGTCTGCGCAGCAAATGGCTTGGTTCATGTGTGCACTTTCCGGACACATGAACTCGTTGCACTCCGAAGGCTTAAAGGTGTAGCCTAGTGGACCATTGTATTATACAGTTCGTCCTAAAGCAACTTATGAAACACATATGGGGCAGCAGACGGGATGGTACCGCCTCCCTCTGACTCCAGATACAAGTTACATGTTACCTCACATAGACTATTAAGACATTAAACACAATGTGCGCATGTGCTCTCAATTATGCTAAATTTACAGCGCAAAGTGGCAGTGGGACTTCAAGTCTTCTATTTGCTGCATGCACCAAATTGGTTGGCATTTAATATTACTATGCCATAACTCTCTGAGTCAATCCAGTAACAGCCTTTAGGCCCGGGTAAGAATGTTAAGTTGTTCTGTACACTATTTATCTTTCTTTTTTCTCTAATTCCAATTAGCCTATGGAGACCAACATACTTATGGTGTTCCCATATTATAATAAAATATATAATATGTAATATTGTAGGCTATTTGTTTGAGTTTCTAGGATATCATAAGATGCCATATGTCACATCAAACTGTACTCTAAGGCTTATACACACACAAACAGACACAAAATGTCTTGCCCAAGGACACATTGTATGGGATCAAACATCCAATCTTCTGATTACTGAGGCACATCTGTACTCGTTTTCTTCTCGTCTTCTTTCTGTACTGCAGAATTATCTTCAAGTACTCCTGACCAAGATCTTGACTGAAACTCCACAGAGAAGAGTCTTCTGAGGTCTCCATGGGAAAGAAACAGTCAGAATTTACATGTCTGACTGTAACTAAATGTCTGTTAGTCTTTACACCAGCCAATACCAAAAGGTAATCTGGACAATGACTCTAAGTAGATAAAAAGGAGAAATGAAAACGATGACATAAAGTATAGCTGGTTGCAACTGTAATTATGTCACAAGACAGTCAATGTTCTCTTTTCCCCTCTAGTTCATCTTAACTGTCTGATGGCTCAAGCTCATGAGTATGAGGCGTATGATGTGTTGATTATCAAAACAGAAGTGCACTGTAGCGCATGGTTATCCATTTACTGCCTGAAGCTATACTGATCTCAAGCATGTCTCTCATAACTGTCTAACTCTAAATGAGGAGAAACAAAGCATAAACAACTAAATACATTTAGATATATAGTTACTTGGATGTATGTCTAAGGTATAGATTAGGAGGATCACAATATCACTGCCTTTAAGTGCCAAGAGGCAACCAAACCATGCCCTCCATCTGATCTTAGTCTGTGCCATGTGACAAGGCTATATAAGGTGATTGCTCCACAGCCATTTTGATTGTTACACTTGGCAGAAGCTACAGTCTAGCTATGGTGTGTGTGTGTGTGGGGTGGGGGCAGACCAGGGGAAGCTAAACAGAGAAGTCTGTCAGAGACTCTGAAAGCATGTGAAGAGTAACTGAGGAGCATTTGACCCAGAACCCTTCCCAATTCAATCTGTCTCACTCTCTTATGACACAGCTCAAGGGCTGACATCACTGACATCATGGCTGTCAAGACAACAGTGAACATACTTATGGAGTTAGTTTATTTAAAGAACAAATCTACAATCTTGTTTACAAACAACAACATTTGGAAAATGTAGGCTACATACATGCTTAACTTTTCCCACATCAAGACTGTTTAAATTACATATTATTGTTTCTGTGCTATCTTGAGTCTGACATTTACAGTATAATTTTACAGTACAATTACAATATAAGGCAAACTCAGACATTTTTGGCACAACAGTTAGTTTCAAGTATCCAGCCAAAAACAAACACAGAAAAAACACACATTCACAGTGTTATTAATTAGATTTTTTATCATTGTATAGTGTTAAGATATAGTGATTAGAGAATAGATGGTGGACTGATTTCTTTTATAGTCTTATTAATCAAAGGAAACCTCTAACCTTACATAACAAAATGCAGAGGGAATTACACAAATGTTACACACTTAAAAAAACGTAAGAATTTTCTCATTTAAGTGAATTAATTAACAAGGCAACTATGTAGTAAATGCTCACATCACACATTTTTAAGCAAGAATAACAGCTACATATCAACAAAAACCATGAAGCACCAGCCAAGTCCACCCAGTAGAAACATGGTAATTTGCATGCTGTAGATGATAAGATCGTTCAGCACCCCAAAATCCAACCTCCTGTGTCCCAGTAAGAGAAGAATGACGGATAGTTTGTACTGTAGCCGCAGGAGGACACGGACACTGACGTACTGTATGAAAAACAGGGTGGATAGCGCCACCCAGAGCAGAGAGGTTAGCAGGCTGCATCCAAAATAGAGCAAAAAACGGAGGAAGCTGTACATGCACCGAGACCGCAGGTAGAGGTCAAAGTTATTGTACTTGGTGCGCACCAGCTGGGTGGAGTGTGCCGACCCACAGGCCGAGTGCATGCAGGTCGTGTGAGGGCCATGGAAGCTGCGTACGCGCCGAGGGATGGGAATCACAGGCATGAGTGGGCTACTGGAGCCCAACACAGTGCAAAGGAGTCCAGCAAACAGTGACACGCCGCGTCCTCCGCGAATCCTGCCTCTGACGCACGGTGAGCTTCATTTGGAGGTAACAATCGCCTGGATCAGATTGGAGCTGTGCATGCACGGAACTGTGGTGCCAGCTCTAAAAGGATAAAAACATTTAGTGACAAGCATATCACGTGTTAGTTGTACATGCGTATTAACACTTGTTGTTCATATTAAGACTATCACAGTACTAAGAATACCGGTTAAGGTGAAAAGAGAAGTTGAATTTGTATGGTATTGCGGTAATACCAGTTAAACAGTTAGCACTGAGATCACAAAACGACCCAAATTTAGCAGAACCAACATGCAAGTAAATGTGTCTTTCATTCCCTTACCATCTAATAGCGTCATACAACTGAAGCATCGTATTACTCCGCTAAACTGGTGCAGAAACGCTAATTATCAGAAGTTTCTCTCGGTAACGTATTTTTCACCACAGTGTTGGCCGTTTGTTGGTACCAGGTTTACGTCATGTCGCAAAGTATGGTCGTGGTGTGGTGTGTTTTCATAGACTGTATTTTCCAGTTAATGGTTAAAGGAGACGCGCATCCCGACCATTTACCAGTATCCTAAAGCAAGCATAGGCAAAATATTTACTTTAAAAATTATGCATTTATACTTGTTACAACGTTTTAGACTACTGTAAGTTTATCAAACGTCTAGACACAAGCACGTTGTTGTGAGACAGACTTGACTATAAAACTGGCTTCTACCTGTGAGATTAAAGACCATCCAAAAACAAAACAAACAAGAAAAAAATAAAAATAAAAATCTGATCTGAATACGCCCACTGTTAAGAAAAAGGAAAACTTCATTTTTTTTTTTCCACAAGAGGGTGCCATAACTCCATGTTATCCTGTTTGAATGCAACCAAGTAGAGTAGTACAGTAGTTTTATTGCCAGTAGTCTGCTGCCCGATTGCAGTAGAGTTAATATCAGGTAGTATCGGCGTATATCTGGTAGACTATAGGTCTAAATGTAATTGCACTGTTACTTAATTGTTACTTTTTGTTACTTTAAAAAAAAAAAAAAAAAAAGCCTAGATTTATGTTTACTGATGAAATCATTTTGTTGAGTACACTTTTCTTTTACTTTCCAATGAAAAGTGAGTTTTTGTATGAGCTCAGAGTATAGTTTATGTTCCATCTCTGGCTACTGGCGTGTGAGACTGTGCAGCTGACAAAATATTTAAATTTTTTGTGCTGTATTTATGGGGCCATACAATATGTACAGCAAGCCATTCAAATAAAATTTGCCGGCAAAGTGTAAATAGTCAAATGAAAACACAAACTTTTACCATAGTAAAAGTATCACATCAGAATCCTCTTTAAGCCTTCTAAATAGGCCTACACTCAAGTTTAATCAATTAATTCATTAACTAAGTAGAGGTCATTGCCAGTAGAAGCAGATAAGACAAATTAAATCAATTAGTCAGGCTAATAAGATGACAGAGGCTTTAATTAGTGAAAGTTTAATCAAAGGCTGTTTTTCTTGTGCAGTACCAGCAGCTCATCTGGTAGATCTATTAGGGGTGTCATGGGAAAAGTTTGGCCACATAGATTAAAATTAGACATCTTATAATTAGAGTCCCACAAACTTTCTCCCATTTGTATTAGTTTAAAACATTTAAAGATAAATATATCATAGTTTTCTTATTCTTCTCAGTTTTTGTTTACCAAATATAGGCCTAGTTAATAATTATTGTTATTCCATGCACAAATTCACAGTTTGTGATAATCCTTGGCATATGATTAACGGATGTTGAGATACTGTGACAAAAACAAAAAAATAAATATATTAGTATCAGTCAAGAAGTATAAAATGTGTGTAAAATTTATAATGAATGAATAATGAATAGGATGTTTGCTTTACATATCCCATGAAAATTTGTTTTTTTTTTTTATGTCCATAAAATTTGGAGTTAGATAGTTAGTTAGAAAGTTAGATATAGGCTAGTAGACAACAATTTGATTTTTATAATTCACAATACATTCCAATTAATAATTAATTAATAGATTTGTCTTGATCCAACTTGGTTTATGCTGTCCTCCGTAGCATCATTTGTTGCTGCATTGACTCCATTAGATAGGCAACTCACTGTGTCCTCCATTGGATTGGGAATGACATACATACATATTTCTGTAATTCAGAGAGCAAACTGAGAGCATGAATGACGGCCATGCTAAAGATTACAGGATCAAACCTACCATCTCATTAACTGCTCTGAATTCCTCTAGTTCATTATATAAAGTTATAAAAACACACCCCAAACAAGATTTCTGACAGTCGAGGTAGATCCAGGCTTAAAATATTTAAATACATTGCAAAGAATTAAAAAGTTAGTCCATGCAGTGTTATGAAAATTGTGAGGGGCCATGTATGCCCTGCACCTGACTTTAAGTAGAGATTAAAAAAAGAAAGATTAAAAAGAAAGAAAGAAAAATGTTTGTTGTATGTTGTGGAACAGCCACTTAGCCTTTTGATGTCCCATTTTAGGCAGTTGGACGAGTTGGACGAGAGCATTCTGGAAGTAACTCCCTTTGACTGACACTGACAGTTTTTGCTCTGTCATGGTATACCATTAGTGTAGGAGAAGGCATGGAGGTAACAACTGAAGCTGAAACATGTTTCTCATTCATGGCTCACAATCAGATACAGGGTCTTTTGGTAACATGGTGATTCTTGAGGCTGTAGCCTGCCTTCCTGACAACATCCTTTGAACAGCATGCTCTCTCTACCTTTTCCACATATACAGAGTACTGCTCTGCTTTAACTCAAAGTGTGTTTCAAATCAAACCAGTCATGTGACCATTTTTAACATGTCCTTGTCTTGTACTAAGAATTTCACCATTTCATCCATGGTGTATCTCTGTCTCTCTGTCTCTGTCTCTGTCTCTCTCTCTCTCTCTCACCCTCATCCAGCTCAGGTCCTCTACCAGAGGCCTGGGAGCCTGAGAGTTCTGCACAGTATCTTTGCTGTTCCTAGTACCGCACTTTTCTGGACTGAGATGTCCGTTGTTTTTTCCGGTATCTGTTGTAGCCACTCCAGTTTGGGGGTTACGACTCCAAGTGCTCCGATCACCACAGGCACCACTGATGTCTTCACTTTCCAGGCTTTCTACAGCTCCTCCTTGAGCCCCTGGTATTTCTCTAGTTTCTCGTGTTCCTTTTTCCTGATATTACCATCGCTTGGTATTGCTCTGTTTACATATATATGTATGTATATATATATATATATATATATATATATATATATATATATGTATGTGTATATACACACACACAGATAATTGATTTATGTAAATTTTATTTGGAAAATTACATTGATTGATTTGGTTGGATTGGATATGATGACTCTGCTTTTTCATTATCACATCTTTTGCTTTTCATAAATAGTGACTTTAAAATCAGAGGAAAAAGTTGAGGGCAAGCAGCAATTTCAGGAAAAGCTTGGGCCAGGACAGGACAGCTCAGTATATTATAGTGTAATAAGTGAAGTGATCTAAAGGGTGTTGAGTTTAACAAGCATTCAGAGGAAGGGAAGAGGTCAGCACTAACGAGGACTCTTCAGTGAAGAGAGTGCCAATACAGGCTGTTAAAACTCAGATAGGTTAGGAACCCTGGTGCAAGACTGTACCAGACACTTAGTAAAACACACAAATAAGGAGGTGCAAGTGAAAGGATACTAGAGCTAAAGCTTCAACCACTAGTCGCCATTAGCCTGATTGGCCCAACAGGTCAGAGAGGTCAATTGATAGGTCAATCACATTGTCGATTTGTTGACCCCAGCACATTGGTTTGGCAAATAGAGGCTTGAACACTGGACAAGCTTTACCCTTTTCCTGAGTTATAGTGCATACCACAACCATGTTACATTAACACAGAAAAATCTATTCGATCACTTATACTGATTTATGTTTGAACTGCACTGCCCTGTCAGCCCCATTGACCAACACCAAGGAACGGTTTTAATACAAGATTTATGCCACAAATGACTTCAGAGTGGTAGAATATCAGCTTCGAGGGTAAAACAGTTAAACAGAAACCTTTTTGGAAACTCCTCTCAAGGAAACAGGATATTCTGTGGCAGTCACAAAACATCTGCTTGCTTACTAATAGGTATCAGTCATCAATATTAAACCCAGACAGACCTACATGTGTTCTGAACCAAAACGAGGCCCAGATCACAAACACTAGAAGCACGCATCAACTTTCAAGACTGAACTGTGCCAGGGGACCTGTTGTATCATTGCCCCATTCATAATACACTATACACTTAAGTACCACTTTTACTTTAAGTAGACATATTTACACTTGCCCAGACCTAAACCAAAGAAATGCCTTCAAATGATTCAGGGGGCAAAAGTCAAAGGTCAGGAAGGGAGGTGAAAGCATCCAATGTACTAATGAAATGCAAAGGGAATGTTTTGTTTATAACACGTGTTTTTATTATCCACCTATAAAAATGTAAATAGTCATGCTGTACTTCTAACCATGTTTTGTGTCAGCATTTTAGTCTCAGTCACCAATCAAACTAAAAATATGCTTAACTGTGGAATTGTGTAAGTAGTAAGTGTTACATTTCTCAAAATTATAACACCAATATATATGTCTTGAAAACAAAAACATCCATAGTGTGTTTTGCTTCATTAATTTACACATGTTTAACATACAGACTCTACATATTTAAGCTGAGTTCTTCTCTCAAACAGAAAACCTCCTTGTGATGTCATGTTGTGATACAGGAAGTGCTCCACTGTATCTTTAAACGCCATATGCCTTCACTAGAATCTTTTGGATGATTTCAGCCCTAGAATTGCCAATTGCCAGAACAAAAATTAAAGGTAATGTAGCTATCAGCTTGAAAAGTACCACTACTTGACATAACAAGGTGAAACAGAGCATTTTCAGCTTTGGAGATGTAAACAGATGAATAATAAAGGATTACTCAAACGTGTGAATGAAAGAAAACACAATTCTAACATGACTTAAAGCTCACAAGAGTCAATTTTTCATAATATGGAATTTTTAAATCAATTCATTTTTGCAATGTAGCTTACTTGTGGAATACTGACTACAACAATTCACCTTGTTTACAATATTTCCTCTTGATAGATTTTCCCCTTTTATTTGTGCTGCATATCAGATGTCTGGCCTTACACTCAGTGACCCCATACAGGTCTGATGTTACCTCAAACTCCTTCAATATTAAACACAGACATCTATTATCTGGAACTGTTCTCCCTTTACAGTGGGACACGCACAGACCCATTTTCCTAGACACTGGTTTGTCTGTGTGTATGTGTGTATGTGTGTGTCTGTGTGTGTGTGTGTGTGTGTGTGTGTCAGCTAAGGACGGATGGGCTCTTAATAAAATATTTAGAGAGACCAGCACATGGCCTGTTAGGTGTTAAAGGTCACATAACGGAGAAACTTCAGGACAAAAGAAGGGATAGATGATGGT